AAGCCAATGTTGACGACTTCCAGGGCAACTCCATCCAAACTGTATATCACCGTGCTGCCATGTCTGTTGAATCTGTCTTCCAGGTGCAACAGGATATATCCAGGGAATGGTGATGGCAACGGCTGGGATGTTGTCTGTGAGGTAGTCATTCTCACAGAATCCTATGTCAGGCTTATGCTTCACTTGCCTGTGAGAAAACTTCCAATTTTGGCAGTAGCACACAGGTGTTAGTCAGGAGAACTTTGCAGGGCTGATAGAAAAACTTTGCTTCTGCCATAGTCTTTTTTGGTGCCTATGTTGATTCTAGGTGGTCCATCCAGTTTCATTTCTTTGTTGAGACTTCATAGTGGTTGCTTCAACTGAGTGGCTTGCTAGGCCATTTCAGAGGGCAGTTGAGAATTAATCACATTGCTGGAATCACATGTAGGCCAGACTAGGTAAGGATGACAGTTTTCTTCACTAAGAAGTTAGTGAGCCAGATGGGTTTTTCTGACAAATCGACAATTGTTTCACGGTCATCACCAGATTCTTAATTCCAGGGTTTTTTTTTTAAATTGAATTCAAATTCCACCATTTGCCATGGATGCCCAGAACATTTGCCAACTCACTCACAAACGGTCAATAATTTAATATCCCAAAAATTAGACTCACATCATCCACTCTATGGAACATTCAATAGGGTGATCATTGTTTCACTACTCTGAACCTATCTACCTTAGGCACAACGTGAAATTCAACAAGGTTCAGAACCTTCCAAACCCACCACAGCCACCTAAATGGACAGGGGTATCAGATAATTGGGAACACCACCATCTTACGATGTATTGTGTCCAGTATTGCCATCAGTTGGGAACAAGTCAGATCCCAGAGTTAAATTTGGCTTGACAGATCAAAAGTTTTACTTTTTCAATTTGGTTACCATGGTGGTCAGTCACTGAACACCTTCATTCGAAGCTGACAATGTACACTTAACAAAAAGCGTACGTTTATTACACAAGAGATTAAGAAAGCTAGGTACAGAGTTTGAAAATTAAGAAATATCTTAGGCATTAACAGCAAAAGTAAAAGATTTAATCCTTTTCTCAACAATATCCTTCAGAGATGTAAGGCTTTTGTTCCCACTTTCCTTGGTCAATCAGGTTTGCTCTGAATATCAGCAATCCAAGGAAATACTAACCAGAATATATACCCAATTTTCTTTATTAAAGCAAAGTACACTACAAAAAGTGCCACAGCTATTTTACCCATACAATGCTTACAATCAGATGTGAACCCTGTTATCTAGACTTGTCCAAAGATCAGACCAGAACAGTTGATCAACCTGGTCCATCACTAAGTTTAGTCACTGATCAACTGACCTCCGAGCTAGCTATGGTGCAGTAGCGTCCCTACCCGTAGACTGGGAAGCCGGGTTCAAATCCCACCTGCTCTAGAGGTGTGCAATAACATCTCTGAACAGGGTGATTAGGAAACTAGCTGAATAAAATATTTTAAAAATAAATTGAAGACTTGTTTGTGTCTCCTTGCCACTCATCATTTGCTCTTAGTGAACCAAGAATAAAACTTTCGCTTGTGCACACTGTTCTCCACTTGCATGTCATCCAATCAAGTATATGAAGTTTACACAGCACAATTGCACCGTGGGGTGGCACGGTGGCTCAGTGGTTAGCACTGCTGCCTCACAGCACCAGGGACCCGGGTTCGATTCCACCCTCGGGCGACTGTCTGTGTGGAGTTTGCACATTCTCCCCGTGCCTGCGTGGGTTTCCTCCCACAGTCCAAAGATGTGCGTGCTAGGTGGATTGGCCATGCTAAATTGCCCATAGTGTTCAGGGCTGTGTAGATTAGGTGGGTTATAGGAGGGTGGGTCAGGGTGGGATGCTTTAAGCTTCAGTGTGGACTGGTTAGGCCGAAGGGCCTGTTTCCACACTGTAGGGATTCTATTAATTCCAGGGCAACCACAAATTCAGCAGATAAATAATCTACATTATCACATCTGATTCACTGTTTTACACAAAACTCAGCTTTTCCAGAGTTAGCAGGACAGCTCAGTCCATTACTGCTGAGCGACAATGCTGGATATAAACACAAGCACATTTCCTCAGCAATACATAGAAGCATATAAAATGTGAACTTTCTAATCATTATGTCATCACTAAGCTTTATGTTTTCTCCTTTTGATTTCATTCAACTTAATTAATTTCATTTTGGCTAGCAGTGCAAATTTTAGGTTAATATCCAGAGAGACACTCAATCCCAATGAAATAGCTTTACTTGAAAATTTCTTATTGACTCTCTACACATTCATCTGATGTGATTCTCTCGGTCTCTCGCACCACACAGATGCAGACCATCTCACTGATACTCTTCAGCTCTCCTGCTTATACTTCTTTACAGACTTCTTGAGGCTTCGATCTCAAATGGCCTGGAGATTTCTAACAGACTCTCAGTTTAGATAGACTTCTCCAAATAAACTCTCAGCCTGGAGGCTGTTTCAAAACTAAGAAATTTGTGGAAGAGTATTAATATTCTTTGCAATCAATCAACAATCACACCTGGTTCTCTTCAAAAATATTTGTAAAATACAGAATAAGATTACATCCCACACTAAATAATCAGTCTCCATGTAGAAAATAATTAAATTGCCCCTAGAACCCCTTAGAACAGATTCTAAATTGATGTTTTTTTCAATGCACAGACACTTAAAATTTCAAAAGCTCCATTCTGCCACTTTCAACCAACAACAAGTTCAAGAATTTCTAAATATCACTTTTGAGCATTCATATTGGCCACTAATCAACAGCTAACCAGTACAATGCATTTCATTTTTATTTTGCAATAGAAAACATTTCATCTCTTCCAAAGTGGATGTTTTTGATTGGAACAATGATGAACTCTCTCAATTCAATGATCTATGATCAAATCTGTAACTTGGTCTCTGATAACTATATTAACATGATTGTCCTAACCATTGCTCATCGGACCAAATCTCTGAAAAACATGGAAATAACATTACTAAATCACAACAAAGTAACGTCACAGTGCAGATTGAATTGATTTTCTTAGTTAAAAAATATTAAGAATGTGCTGCAGGTCATAAATATCACACAGGTCATAAATGTTGAGCATAGAATTAGAAGAGGACAGTGCAAGGGTTTTTTTTTATATCTATGAGTTTGTATAGACAGAGGTGCAACAGAAGTATTCTTTGGAAGTTGGATTTAAAGCACTTATGGGGGCAAGGTAAAGAGAGCTGCATTTTTGTCTGCCTACACTAAACCAACCCTGCACGTCAAACAGGATTTGATTGTTTCCAAGCTGAGACTCACTTCATTCAGAAAATTCATAATGTATAGACTCTTTTAAAAAGGAAATATATAGCAGATAACATTACTTCATGTCGAGTTGTTTGCCAAGGGGGAAAAAAGTCAAGCTTCCCAAAGATGTGTGTTAAATGGTTAGATAAATGAGGGATATTGTTGCTAAGTATAATTTGTAATGTTTTAAGATTGAATGACTGTGTTTGAAATCGGGGATGCTGGAGAAACTTTCAAAATAAATTATTTAAACTGATTCCAAGACACTTCAATCAGTTTCTACTCCAGAAATCAAATAAATGTCTCTACAAAGAAAATGGGAAATTCAGATGTCTCTGCATGTAAAGCAGTATTTCTCTACTTTAAGTATCTATAATCAAGCACTTTAATTTTAGCATCAGAGTAGAGACCTCATTAAATTCAACCTCTTAACTTCAGACCATAATTGCTAGAGAAACTAATTCCACAGCATAGAAGTGATGATTGAAGACAAGTTAATTATTTAGAAGCTCATCCTTGTTGCTTCTGTAGGAGATATTGTTTAGGCCTGTTAGTTAGACTTTGTCATTTTTCTTGGTTTCTACATAATATTTTCATTACTCAAATCTGCAAAGAATTTTACTCTTGCACAAGTACATAGTGAAACATACCTGCAACTGAATTAGGTCGTGGCAGCAGGAATGATGACACAGACTGGTGCACATAAGCAGCAGAACCATCAGAAGCAGTTTCAGATTTTGAAACACTGGTGGCAGAATCATGTGGTTCTTCCTCTGCCACAGGCAAACAACTCTCTCGTCTTAAATTCTTCATGATACCACGTGACAGACAGTCCCGCACACCACCATCTTTGCTCCACTCAAGACTTGAACCACTTTTATCTTCATTTTCAGATGAAGCTGTAGCTGAAAATACAAAGAATCCAAGGAAAATATTACTCAATGTTACTGCTGAGAGTATCTTAAACTAATTTCACATTTAACTGTTTAGAACTCTTATTCAACTCTCTAACTAAAGGCACACCCTTAGCAGATCATGAAACCACCATAAACTGCTGTGATTCATCTTTTTATATGTCACCCAACCCTCTCAATTTCCCAAAATTTAGTGAAATGTCAATTTAAGGGAGTTCCATGGAGGGTGTTGAGGCTGTAAAATTATCAAACTCTATATAGAGTTCTGAAGGCTGCACAGTCTGCAAGCAGAAAATTAGTTTGTGCTTTCTTCCAGTTTGTGCTGAGCCTTGTTGCAGCTCTGAAGCAGGCCCCAACTCAGATGTTGGGCCAGGGAACATGGTGCTCTGTGGAAGTGGCAGGAAACTGGGAAGCTCAGGGTCATTTTTACTCAACATAGCTACCCCACAAAGCTGTTGCCCAGTCTGTCTCTCGTCTCCCCAGTGTTCAGGTGAGCACGTGGTGAGTAATGAATACAGTAAACTCAATTGAATGAAGAGCAGGTAAAGCACTGCTTCACCTGGAAGATGTGTCTGGAGCCTTTGATAGTGAGGAGGGAGGAGGTAAATGGACAATCTGCGATGGCTTGGGAAGTGCCATGGGAGGCGGGCTGTGAGTGGAGGAGGAGTGGACTAGGGTGTCCCAGAGGGAATAGTCCCTGCAGAATGCAGACAGGGGAGGGAAGGGAAATGTGTGTCTTGTGGTAGCAACCAACTGGAGGTGATGGAAATGGCAGCTAATGATCCTTTGGATGCAGATAGAAAGCCTTCAATCTGGATGCATCACAGTGTGGTTTGGCAACTGCTCTTCCCAAGACGGCAAGAAACAGAATAGTGAACACAGTCCAGCTCTTCACGCAAACCAGCCTTCCATCCACTGACTCCATCTACACTTCCTGCGCCTCTGGAAAGCAACCAACCCCTCCCACCCCAGTTATATTCTCTCCACCCTCTTCCATCAGGCAGAAGATATAATGGCTTGTATGCACGTACAAACCGATTCAAGAACAGCTTCTTCCCTGCTTTTATTAGACTTCTGAATGGACCTCAAAAATTTTACATTTCATGTTGATCTCACTGTCTGCGCACCTCCTCTCTGCAGTTGTAACATTGTAGACTTTGCTCTGTTTTTTTACCCTATGCACTTTGTATGGTATGATCTGCCTGTACTGCATGCAGAACAAAACATTTCACTGTACCTAGGTACACGTGACAATAATACATCAAAGATTCTGGCAGGGTGGAAAGTGAAGGCCAATAGAATCCTCATTTGAGCTAAAAAGTAGACATTTCTGAAGCCCCCGCTGGGATTAACAGGGCCCATAGCCATGTCCCATCCATCTCTTGCACTTCTGCCCTCACCACTCCCTTTCTCTTCCCTCACACAGTACTGACAGGATCTCTTTGGTTCTCACTTTCCATCCCACAAGCATCTGCAATCCAAAAGATCATAAGGTACCATTTCCACCACCTCCAATTTAGTTGACCCACAGCCACTGGCCAGAACAGTACAGACAATTGATTGACACAGTGTAAGTTACCTGCCCCTGGAAATATGATAAACTAACAAGTGCTGAGGCAGAGTAGGTTCTCCCAGAGGGCAGTTCTCAGCAAGCAGGCCTTGTAGGCAGCAGACCTCAAGAGTTGATCCCCATAAAGCAGTCTTCATTGAGCCATCCTCATCAGGAGATGGAAGATGAACCAGAGGAGGATGAAGAAGATCAAGGGAGGAGTCCTCTACCACCTCAGCAAGAGAGCAGGATGCTGCCCCAACCACTTTAACAAGATTGAAATATTTTGTGCCAACTGTCCATTTGTCCTCTGGTATCAATCACTGATACCAATTGTCACAGTTGTATAATTTCTTTGTCTAATTAACTAATGTGTCATAACTAAACTGATGCTTCTTTGCAAGTTCAATAAACCATGAGAAAATTCCTTACAAATTATCAAATGTCTATATTATGCAACTATGATTGTGAATGCCAAAAAAATTAACAAGTGAATAATTTGGAAGAATTGTATAGGATGTCAAATGAGGCCTTTCTTGCCATGGAGACCAACAAGTCGCATTTACGAAGCAAATCCCAGGGACTGTGATGAGATTATTACTAGTAAATGGCAAGAGGCTACTTAATGGGGATTATCACTCGTTACAATGCTCATCATTACTTAATCTCGCCTCAATAATGCATAAGTTTCTATTCTATCACCCGCCAAATAGAAACTAGGTGCCAAGAATTCTCAACACAGACATTAGTAGGAATAGGAGGTGTCGCTATTTTTGTTGGGGAGAGGGGGTGTAAGAGCACCACCCGCAAACGAAAGGAAAGACACAGTCCTCACATATCACCCCACCAACCTCCGTATCTAGCGTATCATTCTCTGCCAGCTGCAATCTGACCTCACAACCAAAGAGATATTTACCTCCCTACCCCCATCTGCCTTTCGTAGGGACCGCTCTCTCTGCGACTCCCTCGTTCGCTTCACACTCCCCACCACACCCAGCACCTGCCCTACACCGACCCCCTCACCTCCATTCAAGGCACAAAACAAACTTTTCACATCAGACAGGGGTTCACCTGCACATCCGCCCACTTGCTCTACTGTATCCACCGCTCCCGATGTGGCCTCCTCTACATCGGTGAGACCAAGTGTAGACTCAGACTGTTTCGTGGAGGATCTGCGCTCTGTATGCGACAACCAACACCACCTTTGGGTCGCCAACCATTTTAACTCCCCCTCCCATTCCCACTCCCAGGGTGACATGTCCATCCTGGGCCTCCTGCAGTGTCACAATGATACTACCCGCAAACTGGAGGAGCAACACCTCATTCTGCCTCGGAAGCCTACAGCCAGATGGCCTAAACATGGAATTCACCGGTTTTAAAATCTCCCCAGCCCTGGCCTCATTCTATGTCCAACCCTCCCTCTCAACCCCGCCTCCTTGACCTGACACAACCTGTCCATCTTTTCTCCCACCTATCCACCCCACCCATCCCACTGACCAATCTCCAGCACTCCCTACTTGCACTAACATATCACCATCCCACCTACCTTCCCCAGTTCCACCCCTCCTCTCTCTATTTATTTCAGAGCTCCCTTCCTCCTCCCCATTTCTGAAGAAGAAGGGTCCTGACCTGAAATGTCAACTTTCCTGCTCCTCTGATGCTGCCTGGCCTGTGTTCCTCCAGCTCCACACTGCGTTGTCTCTGCACTTCTACTGTTTGCTTATTTGCTAATTCTCACAGAAGGTGGTTTGCGTATGGAATGACCTTCCTGAGTAAGTGGTGGATGTGGGCACAATTACAATATTTAAAAGACATTTGGATAAGTACATGAATAGGAAAGCTTTTTTTTTTGGGGTGGGGAGAGGATTATATTCGGCATGGACTGATTGAACCAACGGGTCTGGTTCTGGGCTGTATGATTAAAAAAAAGTTTTCTTATGCAAGACCTGCCCCAGAAATGGTCAACAGAGTCAAGCTGGCATATCACCTTGGTGACAGGGTCCTGGAAGCTCTGTGTTGGGGTGGTGGACACCATTTTCTTTCCTCAGAACTATCAAAGGAGACAATGGCATCAGACCTGGTGAGTGCAATGCCCAAGGATCTGACAGTACACCAAACAACGTCATAGGGAGGTTAATTTCCTTCAATGCTACACAAGGGTAAGAGCCAACATTTCGTCTCTGCCATCTCTCACACACTTAACTCTGCCACTGCATCCATCTCCCACCAAGACTCGAGGTCTACAATTCTGATGTGGCATGCAACATCTCATTGCGATGCCTCACCTCCCCTCCCCTGCCCTCCAAACCATCCCTAAAGACTACTAGCCCCTCCTGTCCTCCACGTGTCCTATGCTCACTGGGGATAATTCACCACTTTTCCTCCACCTGCACTAACACTAACAGCTGAGACAGCCACTTTCATCTCACTCAATACTTGGTGTCATTAAAACAGCCCAAAACAGGCAGAGAGTTGGTGGGTGCCCAATATTAGTCTGCTTACACCGAGGGGAGATTTCTTGCATGAGAGAGAGGGGACCAATTAGGCCATAAGATGTACCAGCAGAATTTGGCTATTTGGCCCACTGATCTTATTCCAACATTCAATGAGAATCTTCAGCTACACTTTACTCATAGCCCTCGATAACCATGCTGATGGGAACCTGCATATCTCAGGCTTGAATATCCTTAATGAAAGAATAATTAGGGAGAGAATAAGGCCCCTTAAAGATCAGAAAGGAACCTATGGTTGGAACCACTGAAGATGGGGAGATACTAAACGAGTATTTTGCATCAGTGTTTACTGTGGAGAAGGATGTGCTAGAGAACTTGTGGTAAAAATGACAACATCTTGGAAAACATCCATATTACAGAGGTACAAGATGTCTTAAAACACAAAGGTGGATAAATCCCTGGGACCTGATCAGGTGGGAAGCCAGACAAGTGATTGCTGGACCCCTTGCTGAGAAATTTATATAATCGATAGGCACAGGTGTAGTGCTGGAAGACTGGAGGTTGGCTAACACGGTGCCACTATTTAACAAGGGTGGTAAGGAAAAGCCAGGGAACTACAGGCCAGTGAGCCTGACATCAGTAGTGGGCAAGTATTTGGAGGGGATCCTGAAAGACAGGAGTTACATGTATTTGGAAAGGCAAGGACTAATTAGGGCTGATCAGCATTGCTGTGTGCGGGAAGTGACATCTCACTAACTTTATTACTTTTTCAACAAACTTAATAAAGAGAATTGAAGAAGGCAGAGCAGTAGATGTGATCTATATAGACTTCAGCAGGACATTTGACAAGGTTCCTCGTGGTAAACTGGTTAACAAAGATATAGTCACATAGAATGCAGGGAAAAACAGACATTTGGACACAGAACTGGCTCAAAGGTAGGAGAAAGAGGGTGGTGGTGGTGGAGGGTTGCTTTTCGGACTGGAGGCCT